ACCGTGTCTTTGCCTAACTCCCGCACCAAGGACATCGCAGCGCGTGGGGAGTCGAGCGGGTTCTGTAGCCTCGGAATCGCCGGACCGACCGCTTTGGCTCGCTTTCGAGCCCCCTCGGCAGGCCTCGGATTCACCGATCTTACTCCACCTCACCCGTCCGCCGCGCCGAGACCCCCTTGAAAGGGCCTCGGGACGAATTGCGCAGGCTCCGCCTCGCCCGAAGTTCGGGCTCGTCCCTAACCTCTCGCCTCCGCCTCAAAAGTCTCTCTGGCGGTTGTCACATTCGATTAATCGCTCGGCCGCACCGCTTCACGTAAGCCACGATCGGCGGTCTTGGCGCAACAGGGAGCGACGAGACAACGATCAGATCACCTTTTTACCATCCCCATCGACAATACTGGTACCAGTATCCTATAGGCGACGTCTCAGACTATTTCGCTGACGACGGCCGAGACCCGCAGATCGCACTGGTCACTTCTCAGGCCTCGACACGGCAGGCCTCGGCACAACAGGCCTCGGCACGACCGGCTACGATGGCCGCCGAGCCTCTGCAATCCACCAAGTCAACAAATGCACAGCATGTTACTTGCAGTGGAGACCATACCGATTAGACATCTACGGAAACTCCCACGACAACGCCATGCTGCTCCAGGAGTAAATACGTCATCGAATAGTCCGCTCCACGTGTAGCTCTCTTATGTACTCCTGGTTTCCTCCCTGCGGCTATAAAAGGAGGCGGCCAGGACCGTTTCTAGGGACGGCAGATAGAGTCACGAACACTCGCACGAACAACACGCCGCATTCTGTAATTCATATCACCTCCCCTCACAGAGACTTGGGACGAACTCCCTCTCTAGCCTAGCTTGTAACCCCCTACTACGAGCACCCCGGTGCAAGGAATACAAGAACATATTCTCAGACTGGACGTAGGGCATCCATTGCCCGAACCAGTATAAACCTTGTGTCTCTTTGCATCACCATCCGGAATTGGGAGCACGCAGCACAAATTCACTAGTCGGTTAAGGACCCCTGGTTCCGAAACACCGACACATAGCAACTTATTTTTTGTTTAGGACCTCAATTCATGTGTGTTGAAGTGATTTTAGATTGAGTTGGATACATGGACATCTAAACAAGCCCTTAAATGAATTTTTATCATTAATCCCTAAGACAATAGTGTATAGTAGTATAAAGATAGCATGAGCAGCCAAACATGTCATTGATCGAATCATACTTGTTTTTGTCACTAAGCCTACCATAGTTTTCACTCTGATTGGATTTTACAAAACTTTGCATTTAGACTGATCATAAACTCTACTTTTCTATCTTGGGTTGTCCATGACGACTATGTTCATGACTACTGGTCTTTCGGACGACAATCAGACCTGAGTACCAACCCGACGGGTGCGGGTACAGGCAAGAAAACTCACCCGCAGGTACATTTGGTTAGAGTACGGGTACTTCACTTGTAGGCACGCGATGGATAACCATAATTTTAGAATACATGTATTGTACATACCAAACTACATAGCACTATACTATTTGTGCGAGCTAGAGAACACTTCCCCGCATCAAGTGAATAAGTATTTGTGTGAACTGTTAGTTTACTTTAGTTCTTGCACTGTGTTATTTGTATGAGCATGAAGAATTGAAGCACTATACTATTATGTATTGTGACTTGTGAGCTACTGTGTAATGTACAAAGTCCTACAAAACTCTCTATAATGTAATTGAGATTGATAGATTGTGTGTGTTGAGAACTAGAATTTTGTTTAATTCTCTGCTAGATGAATCATTCCTTGTTGCTAACATAGAAATATGTATGGTAGATTTGAATTTGAATTATAGTTACTGTTGTGGTCACTATGATGTATTACTTGATCTCTCCTAAATATTTCGGCGAGTACCCAATACATGTCGGGTGCGTGCGGGCACACGTACAAAATCTTACCCACTAGCCTTTACGAGTACGGGTAAGAGCTAGAGTTTTGGGTATAGCCGTGTCTAGGTAAATGCTCTACCCGTAAATTACTCAACCCATTGTCATCCCTAATTGATCTATACATGCAACACTCCAATTCGACAATTATTACAACGTGGTGAAATTTCATCTCGCAAAGGCGAAGAGATGATGGCAAGTATGCTCTCATCGTTGGATAAAATTTCAGTAGTGACTCTTCATCTAATCGCATACCAATCCATGATTTGTGTGGGTGTGGCTCTCAAACCGAGGCAATGAAAAAAAGCGAAAGGACACCGAGGCCAAACTGGGCCAGGCTAGCCTGAATTTGTATGGCCATTATTCACAGCATGGTACTCCTATGTAAACCAAAACGCTAATTCGACCTCCTCCAGCTTTCGTCGAAGTCCAACTTACCTCTATGAATAAAAAATGGTTTTTTAACCTCAATCAACTTTTGAAACCGTTCGAGTTTACTCCTCTGGCTGGTTTTGAATGCGTGAGGCCAAGTGAGCCATCATAAGTGCTGTCGTGTCAGCTTGAGAGAGGTAAATCAGACACCATTGATAGTTCAATGGGTCAATTAGATTTTGTAAAAAGTTAATTATAAAAATATATGCAATTAAAAGCCTAAAATATGATTGTCTTAGAAAATTCATAGGAAAATTGTTTTAGCTTAGACTAGTTTCATATTTTTCCTATAATCATGCTAGATATTATAATAACCATACTCCATATCCGTCCCGCAAAGAGTCATTCTCACTTCTCAAGAAGTCAAATATTTTTAATTTTAACCAAATATATATAAGAGATTATTAATATTTATAGTGCACAATAAGTATTGTTAGATTAATCATTTAATGCATTTTCATAATAAACTTATTTGAAGACATAAATATTATTAATATTTTGTACAAACCTAGTCAAACTTAAGAAAGTCTGACCTGCACAAAACCTATGCTACTTTCTTTTTGGGACAGAGTAGTAGACCCTAGTAAGGGCCTAGTGATTTTGTTGATTGAATGACAGCATAATCATTAGGACTAACAATGTTTTGCTAGTATAGAAGATACTTAGTTTTATGAATGCAAGAGATGGACTTGAACTAGGCTAAGGTGAAGATCAAACAACCAATAGCTCAAAGGAAGATCATAGTGGGGCGTTGAAGACAAACCAGAAGCTCAAGACATCGTACAAGTGAAGCTCGGACAAATAGACATGAAGAAATGCACTCAGTCGAGCATCGTAAAGGTGCACCAAATATTTTCGTTGTGCATCAGAGCCCTCTGGTGAAGGCACTAGAGAAATGAAGTGGCCCCAGTCCAAGGTAGAGTTAGAAGGAGTGCATATATTGTGTGATTGTGGTGTTGGCACCAGAGATTTTTTTTTTTAAAATGAAAGAAGAATTGTATTAGATTATAGCTAGGTACATCATCACGTTACAAGCACTATGGAATACATTACATATATCCACAAGCTGATTTTCATCTAAATTATACACACGCTGTGAATAGCTCCAAATCTCGAATCCAAACCTGTATGACACTTCATATGGATGACCACACAGGCAAACACTCGGCAAAAGACCTAATAATAGATGCCCAACGAACGACGACCAACATTCTTGCAGGCGGAATTGAGAAACTTTTTCTTTCTTCAGACTTCTTTCTTCTTCTTTCTGCCACCGAAGAATGAGAAAGACTGATCTAAAACTTATTCTCCCTAGTCCTTCATTGTAGCCAGATCTAACCACAACAAAGCGGAGAAGAGACCGAAGAAAACTATTCCATGGCGGCGACATCGTCATCTCTGCCTTGATGTCGCTGTCCGGAAAGAAAAGTCTCCATGTCGCCATGCCGATGAAGTTGCTGACGTCATAGTTGTCGTTCTCATCTTCAACAGATCCGCCATGGAGAAAACAATTCCACCCTGTCCCCTCGCCGTCGCCGAAGAGGAGGAGGAGGAGGAGATAAATCTCCAATACCAAAAAACTTGGCATGGAGAGACCCTAACCATAATGACTCGATTTAATAGAAAAACTTTATTAAAAACGATGGATCCCCACTCCCTCTGGCCTCCGGCGAGATGCCGGAGGGGGAAGGGAGGCGGACCAGCTATTTGGTGGAAAAGCGGGCGTGGCCCGGTGCTGCTGCGCGCTAGGCAAGTCATGATCATCGCAGCGGCCAGGTACTGTGCTGTTGGCACCAGAGATTAAATACAAAGGCATTGCACATGAGTAGTGGGGAAGAAGAGAGAACCAACGTGCGGCGCTAGGCAAGTCGCGAGTCGCAGCGGCCAGGTACTGTGCTGTTGGCACCAGAGATTAAATACAAAGGCATTGCACATGAGTAGTGGGGAAGAAGAGAGAACCAACGCTCTCTAGTGAGGCACCGAAGATTAACAGTGCAGTGTAGAGAGGTCCTAGCCCTCTAAGCGCACCCGAATTGTCCTGTGAGGCGGGCACCGGAGAAACCATCGGATAAATAGGCTTCCAAGGTCAGCAGGTCAACAATGGCTAGTCGACATGGCAGGGGCACCAGATTTCTGAGGTGTGATCACCTGAGCTATCATATACTCACTACAAATGCTACCCAAGGGTCCAATGGCTATTTGGGTTGGTTGGGGCAATATATACCTCTATACCTAGCCATTCAGAGTGTGTTAGAGCTTGCCAAAGCTATAGTTGAATTGATGAGATTCATCCATTTGTGCTCTAGCCACCATATGCACTTAAGAGAAAATTAGTTGATTAGCTAAAATTTGTGCCCGCGTTGTTGGATCTCAACCATGGACGAAATTTATTTTCTCCACACGGCGTCGCCACTAGACAACAACAGTCAATCTTCGTTGACAGTACAACACTTCTGTTTTTGAAAGAACAACACAACAGACATCACTCTGTGACTATATATATGATTATTATTATTACTACGAACGCAACTCTGACTCTGTTGCAGATCCTCGTCATACGTAGTTCCGATCCATACGTCATCCGGCCGCACAGCAACAAAAGGCGCAAGAGCGAGGGTTAAAATGGTGGTTAATGGTGCTGAGGATCGGGCCCGCTGGGGCTCGCCCTCTTCGACTCGAAGTAGGCCGCCGCCGCCGCGGGGCGGGTGAGCCGCGGCACGCTCACCGCAGCAGCCGCTGTCGTCACCGCCTCCGCCGCCGAGGCCGAGCTCGCGGCGGCGCCGCCCAGCATTCTCCGGCCAGTGATCACCACCGCCGCCGAGCGGCGGCGACAGTCAGGCTCGCAGTGGCTGCGGGCGGCGACAACGACGGTCGTGGACAGGAGGAGCACGGCGCAGAGCAGCACCTTCATCAGCGTATTCAAGTTGGTGGACGCCATGACAGTAGCTTGTGCTTCGTTCGGCTTGGTGCATGTACGTACGTGCGTGGTCGACGTCGTCCTCGTGGAATCCTAGAATGTAGGAGTAGCTATCTAGCTTTGTGGGCTGTGTGGCAGCTAGCTTCGATTCGATTGCTTGTTGTGGTAGTTACACGATGCTGATCGAGGATTTATAGGCAATTAGGCACCTCGTCTGCGTGGTGCAGTTTGTCGTTGCACGCGCCTTGAGCTGGTAGTGGTGGTTAGTTATTGCTGCATGCAATAGCAAATTAGCAATACAATGGTGGAGGTGGAGGTCCCTCTGTGCCGCACTGTCACGATAGATGATAGTGAGCTCAGAAAAATTTGAAACTACTTTTTGAGATCGAGGACAGCGCAGTTAGTGCTGACCTAGTTTAAGCCATGTTGCATGTAGGTTCCATTTCCTTTACCAGACTGGCCCTCTGGAATCTGCTGGATCAGATTTCAGCGGATTCTTTTAATTTGCATATGCATTTTGATCAGAATCCATTTTGATGCTCCAAGTGGACGATGACTGGTCCAGCCAGCTGGCTTCCTGATAGAGGCCAGTCAGCCATGCATGCATTTAGTTTCTGTAAGTGTGGAAAGGAAAACCGTTACTGATTGCCAGATTTTCGGCCTGTTCAGTTGGTCGTATTTGGCTTATAAGCCATGGCTTATGAACCAACGAACAGTATTTTTCTCAGACACTAAACCAGCTAACAGTATTTTTAGCCATAACTTATCAGTCAAATAAGCCAAAACGAACATGGCATCATTCCTGAATAACCGGCCTTGACGTCACACGCACGCACGAGCAATCGAGCTAGCCAGATCGGAAGATCACCTCGGACGAATTAACCGGCGCCGTAGTATGGAGAAAGAGATATATATATCAACTTTATGCGTGGTCCTGCTGTACGATCATTTGCCAACGAGTAACATAAGAGCTCTCCACGTATTCCGATGCACCATTATAACTGCTTAACAACGACGCGACCAATCTATTGGCATTGCCTTTTGATGTCGAACTAACTCCCTTTTTTTTTTTTTTTGAAAAGAAGCACTTTCTAGTAGTATTCCCTCTGTCAAAAAATAATGCAACCATAAGTTGCATGTCAGTCAAAGTGTTCACGATCAAGATTCTAGTGAATTGTATTCACATTTATAACTCCAAATTAATTTTTTATAAAAATACATTTTGTAATTAATCTAATGATGTTGATTTGATATCAGAAATATTGATATTTTTATCTATACTTAGTCAAATTTATAAAATACTAAAATATGGCACTATGCAGTGGCACACCCAGAAATTTTCTAGAGCCTGGGCGAACATAACGGCTGATAACAAGTTCACACAAATATATCTATTATAACATAAGTAAAGTTAGCACTTGAAGGCCTCGATAGAACTAAAATCGTCATCCAGTACACATTTGCATATATGTGCACATATTAAGGAAATAAGATATCACATAAATTATCTCATTATTATATGATACTAAAATTAATTGTGGGTTGCTAATTTACCACTAAAAGTCTTCCAAAGAAGATATCTATGTAATCAATATATAGAAAACATGAAGTGAACAAGTCGATATATAATTAAAGGCAGCTTCATTGAGTGGTCTAAATAGTACCCAATCAATGTAAAAAAATATCAGGTCCTGGAAACTACCATTGGTATCTTGTGTTAACTAAGAAATGCATTATTCCTAAAAGAATCATGAACAAGTAAATAGGAAGCAGATGATTGTTGCAACCCCTCTGTGTGCGTGCATTGATCTCATTTTGGAATTTATACATGTATACACATGCACCCGCTAGTCGCTAGTGGCCAGAGGAGGCGAGCAACATGGAGCGCCCCGTCGTCATGCAGATGCAGGCCGAAAGGATTTCTGAAATTGTGGTTGCTCGGTTGCTGCGACTGCGGAACCTGCATGTTTTTAGTTGGGCTACTGGCTGCCTCTGCTCTTTGTACGTAGTTGCCCACACCCATGGTAATTTCCACTCTGCTGACATACGCACGTCATTCAGTGCTTCAAGACGAGCCTGGGCAGGTGCCCAGGGTCGCCGGGCCCTGAGTCCGTCGATGAGAATTATATATTTTTTTTAGACCGGGGAGTACTACTGCGCTCCTCTGCATGCCTATCTACCTTCTCCTGCCCCATTATTATTCTTTATTCATTCATGCACGCACGGTGACTTCATTAGCCCGCGATCCGTGTCAGTTTCCACTGATGCATCTGCATCACATCCTATTCGTCGGACAGCAATGGCGCGGCCGCAGGCCTCTTCGACTCTTCGTGCGTGACCGCGCCATGGTCCCTACGCATGCGTGGCTTCTCTACTCGACCATCGTCTTATGCTCAACTACAAATGCTACCGAGGGTCCAACGGCTAGTTGAGTTGGTTGCACTACTGAAAACTTAGGGCCTGTTCGGCAGGGCTGAAAAATACTGTTCTGGCTGATTGTTGTGAGAGAAAAATACTGTTCTGCCATGATGTGAACAGTGATTCTGTGAGAGGAAAAACAAGCCAGCCGGCTGGCTTTAAGCCAGCCGAACACGCCCTTAGTAATTTCCTGACGGTTTCGTATTTTTTTATGGTTATTGCATAAACCGTCGGGTAAATAGAATTACCATAACGGTTTCTGAAAAACACATAGGAAAATTGATATTATCTTGACGGTTTCTGAAAAACACACATGGAAATTAAATAACCATCACGTAAATTCCTAATTAACCTGTGAGTGCACATAACCGTCAAAGTAATTAGATAACCGTCAGAGAAATTCCTAATTCCTTGACGGTTTCGTATTTTTTTACGGTTATTGCATAAACCGTCAGGGTAAATGGAATTATCTTGACGGTTTCTGGGAAAACGCACAGGAAAATACTAGAAATTCAAGAACATGAACAAAAGGTTTTCTCCTTTTAATCTGCGGTGAAATTTTATAACTAGTCTTTCTCCCTCATGCTAACTCCAAATGATATATTTCTTTTTTCTAGTTATATCTAAAATCATAATCTACCAGTTAACAACATTTGTTTGGATACCAATTATTATTTCTTGGTTCTTTTGCATATGTTTATTTTCTAATCATGTATATAGAGAAAGCACCTTGTGAAACAACCATTATAAAATGTCTTTCATACTCCAAACATCTTTGTATATAAAATAGGCTACATACATACTGTTGTGTTGAAGTTTCAAAATTTTTGAAACCAATTTTATATTTTCTTAGTCTAAATGAATTTCTACGCGCTTATCAAAAATAATTCCAAATTAAACAGTGCGTACCTCCAATAAGATTCCAAAAATATTCTAAATTTATATTTATGCTCATATGTTTCATTCTAGGCCATATCCAGAGATGGATGAAAAAAATCATTTGTTTTGCTATGGATAATTCATCCTTCTATCTCCAAATTAACATAAAATAATTGTAATAATTTGAAACTTTGTTAGAAAATCCCTAAACTTGCATGACAATATGTTTTTAGTGTACAATGTTCCAATAAAAATTCCAAATGTTTTTGAAAAAGAGGTGCCATACATTGTTCACAAATGGTATATCTTTCACATGGTTATAAGAAACTATGTGAGAGATGTGTCCATTTGTGAACAACGTATAGTACTACTTTGTTAAAATGATTTAAATTTTTATGTAAAGCTTATACACTCACATTATGTGCCCATGCCAATTCTTAGAATTTTTAGAGCGCTTTATGATATTATTATTTTTTTGTTGTTGGAGTTGCCAAAATAGTAGTTTGAGTAATGTTCAGCAAAATACTTAATTTTTCCATCGATTTCAGGATGTGGGCTCAAATAGAGTATGCCTTCTTACATATATTTATTTTCTACTAATTGTTGGACATTGTTAGATAGGACATGTAGTTTAAGTTGTAGTATTTTCATTGTAAAATAAAAGGAAAAGGGAATATTTAATTGTATTATTTTATTTATATTGTATAGCAATTCAGCCCATGCAGACCTCCGGCCCAAATCGGCCCACCTAAAAAACCCTAGACTATATATCCCCTTCCTCCCTCTCTCGTTTCCCTCTCCCCCTCCCTCAGTCGCGTCGCGCCGCTGAAAAGTCCTAATATGGCTAGAGGGGGGTGAATAGCCTATTTAAAAATCTACAAATCAACTAGAGCAATTTAATTAGTATGACAAATAGCGAAAAGCAAATTTGCTCTAGCTCTACAAGGGTTGCAAGCCACATATCCAACAATTCTAGTTACTATGATCATTATACACATAATTTACTAAGTCACTACTCACTAAGAGCTCTCACAATTGTTACACTAAAGAGCTCCACCATATGGACTTAAGCTATAAAGCAAGCTCTCAATTCTAGCTACACTAAAGAGCTTGCTACAACTAGTTTGCGGGAATATAAATGAGTAAGTAAGGTAATTATACCGTCGCGTACAGGAGTGAACCAATCACAAGATGAATACTTATTCAATCACTAGGAGAATACCAAAGGGCAAGAGACAACCAATTTTCTCCTGAGGTTCACGTGCTTGCCAACACGCTACGTCCCCGTTGTGTCGACCAACACTTGGTGGTTCGGCGGCTAAGAGGTGTTGCACGAACCTCATCCACACAATTAGACACCGCAAGAACCTACCCACAAGTGAGCTAACTCAATGACACGAGCAATCCACTAGGGTTACCTTTCAGCGCTTCGCCGGGGAAGGTACAAGTCCCCTCACAATCACCGGAGAGGGACACGAACAATCACCAACTCGTTTCAATCCTCCTCCGCTGCTCCAAGCCGTCTAGGTGGTGGCAACCACCAAGAGTAACAAGCGAATCCCGTATTGAAACACGAACACCAAGTGCCTCTAGATACAATCACTCAAACAATGCACTTGGATTCTCTCCCAATCTCACAGAGATGATGAATCAATGATGGAGATGATGAATCAATAATATATTTATAAATCTATAACTACGTTATACATGATCCAATGAATATGAAAATTTTACTACAATTCAAGCATACAATAATTAGCCTACCATAAAAATTTCACCACAATTGGACCATAAAAACTACAGCTATGAATTAATTAAAGAAAAGCAAAGATCTAAAGCTATAGAAAAAAAATTTACTAAAGCGTACCATATTATATGTTCACTGTATAGATCTACTCATATGGAGTCCAACAAAATTAGATTTTCCGTTTTATGATTTTTCCGTAATTTACTCTGATTTTTCAAAGATGCATCCAAAATAAATAAAAAAAGAAAAAGACAAAATCGTCTTTGAAAACCACTTATAATTGGCCATAGAGGTAAAACGAACTGTTTTAAAAGTTCAAGGAGGTTGTTTACCCGGTTTTACACTTCAGAGAGGAAAATCAGACTTTTGCAAAAGTTGAGGAAAGTAATATGTATTTTTTACTTTGGAGTGTATTAGAGCTTACCAAAATTATAGTTGAATTGAGATTCACCTATTCATGCTCTAGCCACCATATGTGCTTAAGAGAAAATTAGTCGATTAGCTAAAATTTGTGTTCACATTGTTGTATTTCAACCGTGGACAATGGGTTAATTGGCCCACCTGCCCACACAGCTGCAGCGTATACCAACTGATTATGCTGGAAAAAAAAGGACAGTATTCTCGCTCCTCGAAACCTCGCCCTCTCCACCAGCTTAAGGGCAATTGTATTGGTATTGTCTCATAAGTAGTCTTACGCATAATAATAAGACGACTTAAGAGGTAACAAGTACAACAGATTATCTTTTAAGTTGTTTCATAGTAATTCTAGAGTCCTTAATTTATGGATACAACAATGAAATGTTTGTGAGTTGCATAACACCAACCACTTGTACAATGGCGTGTAAGTTGTCTCGTAGTCCTAAATTTTAGCTCATAATGTAGTTGTTTCGCGAAACAACGACCTCTTTCTCTTTTCCCTCTCTCTTTTCTCCACATTAGCAAAAATCCTACGTGGCACTGTATGAGACGGCGTATGAGACCGCTGACATATAGCAATGTACTTGCCCTAACAAACTGTTTGAAGATGTTTTGTGTTAAATGGGCATTTTTTTTATCGGGTGTTCAACCCGTTTTTCATTAAAGCCCCGTTCGACTTACCTTATAATTCGTACTATTTAGCTTGTTTTTTCAACCGGAACAGTGTTTTTCTCTCACAACAGTTCAGTCAGAACAGTATTTTTCAGCTAATTCATCTAAGTTTCAGCAAGCCGAACAGGGCCTAAGAGGAGAGTAACCAAATGTCACAGAGATGTTCGCGATAGTTGCGAGGAGCCAACACCGATCACCAAGCGCCTAACTACTGGATATGTGAACGTTGATATTACATTATGCCTGAATGAGGCGACCAATCTGCCGAAGGCACAGCGAGCGGCGAGAACCCCGCCGCGACCCAATCTTCAGCCTCCCGCGCGGCTGCTTGCCGTAGTTCCATGACGTTCCTGGCCGGTGCTCTCCCAAAGGTCACACCGTTCCTTTCTTTCCATAAGCTCCAGGCAATAAGCAGGAATATGGAGTCGAAGATCGGACAAGCGGCGGAGTCAAGACGCTGACGCTGTCACAACCACCATTCTGCAATCACTTCCTCATGTTCTGGCACGAGCGACGCCAAGCCGATTGGTGCCAGCATGGAGAACCACAGCTCATTTGCGACGACGCATCCCAGGTAAAGATGTCCCACAGTCTCTGGAGCCTGAACGGCCATGCCTCTTCCGCCTCTCTGCCGTCCATAAGCGATTATGTAGCACAAGCCAGCAAAAGAACGTTCCCTATTAGATCGTTGGCCATAGCCGGGGACAGTACATCGACCTTGGTCTCCACAAGACAAAGCACAGAAACGCGCTCTTGTATCATATTGAGGCCACGGACGTTCCAGATTAACACATTTGGTCCTAACATTGACAACCAGTTTTAGCGACCAAGAAGCAGTGACTCAGGCGGCGCGAACGGCAGAGGGTGCACGCTGCTTCCTTCCCGGGAATAGTATCTCCATCGCCTCTCGCTTGGACGGAGTCAGTGGTAGGGCAAATACTTCCTGGAACTCGTCGAAGGATGCTTCATCAGGGACCTGCGTCTCCATTTCGAAGCCCAACCGCTTCATCATGACCTTTCTCGCCTGCGCTTCACGGTGCATCTCCCTGTACCGGCTCTTTGCCGCCAGCCTCGCGCTTCTCTTAGGGACTAGGTCGACGTCGTCGAGCACCCTTGCCGGCTTGGTGACCCGGAGGATGGGCGTCGAAAGTACCGAGCGCGGAAGGGTCTTCTTGAAGGAGTCGACGAAGATCTGAGCTGGCAGGTGGTCATCGTCTCCGTCCTGTGCATCGGCCGCCGGCAGCTCGTTCATCGTGATGCCTAGAGAGGACGGCTGCGCGGTTAGACCGTCTCCAACAAGCCATGCATACCGCTACCTAAACCCATTTTGGGTCCTGCACACTGAAAAAATGCCATCAACAGAATAGGCAAAGGGAACACCTATTTTGGGTAGAAGGAGAGAGGAAACCCAGATATGCGTCCTCTTTCTATCGTCTCTCTCCTCGACGGCGCCGCAAGTATGGCAGAACCATGACACGGCTATCCATGGCCGCGGCCACAGGCGCGGGAGGACGGATCCGGCCATGGAGGCATTGGATCCGGCCATGGCGACCTCGGATCCGGTCGTGGAGGCCCCGGATCGACCCCATCAAGGCCGAGAAGCACAGATCGACGCTGGACCTGGGCACCGGCGAGGGAAAGAGAGGAGCAAGGGAGAGATGCCACCTTCACCTAGTCTGCTCGCGCCGAAGAACCTATGCACTGGTGGCGCCCCTGGGGCCCACCAACCCACGCCGCTGTACCGCGTCACCGAGAGGCGTGCTCGCCCGCACCGCTGGCCGGGTGGGGTGCGCCGCACCGCCGCACCTGGGCGTGCTCGTCCCGCGCCGTCGCGTCGGGCCTGGAGGGGCGCCCTCGTGCCGCCGCGCCTGGGCGCGAGATTGGGAGCGACGAGATGGCTGTGATGGAGCGGCACGTCACCACGGACGAGTCCGCGCGGCGTGGGCGGGCGAGGAGCCGCGGCCATCGGGAAAACGAGCGAGAACGAGAGAGAGGGAAGGGAAGGGAACACTGGAAGAGTCGAGACGGAGAGAGAGAGGAGGGCAGCAGATATTTTGGGTTCGCTGTTAGAGAAAGGAAATTTTGGATGGATAATGCAGTGACTGTGTGTGATCCAATCTTTAGAACGAGTCTTATGTTTGGGTTTAGTCTGTTGGAGATAGTCTTAAGCTTAGGGCCTGCTCCGCGACGATGGGGGGCCTGGGAGAGGTCGGCCCCGAAGTACATTCCTCTAGCCCAGAAAGGCATAAGTCTACTGCTTGGGCCACCTCCCTGCCTCCGTCTTCCATGTATCCAGGTGTCGGCCCAAATACAAGTTCCGGCCCATCCCAAGAGGCCTCGTAGTGTAGGACCGTGCGGCCCATCAGCAACTCAGGGTCGTCCTCCAGGGCGGCCCCCACAAAGCCACGACGCCAACTGGCCGGCCTGCAGCTCCCCCGCAGACAGCAGTCGATGGAGCGCGGGGCGGAAAAATTGTCAGAAGCCGGGCGACGCGGCGTGCACAGACCTGCTTCGACGAGCATCGGGTCCGCCTCGGGTAGTTTGACAGGAGAGGGTGAGCATGGGCGCCAGAGAGGCAGGTCAACTTGCTCTCCGACGGGCTGTGCGACACGTGTCCCGATCTCGCCAGGAATCGTGCTGCCTATGTGGCGACAGGACATGGGCGCGCGCGGCGCCTCGACTTGCGCTGCCAGGGGGCTCGACACGCGTCCCGGCCTCCCCAGGAATCCTGCTGCCATACTGTCGACAGGGCATGGGCACGTGCGGCGCGTCGACGGGGCAGGTCACATCACCCACCCGGACTGCCCTCCTCGAACCGCGCGGCCTGCAAGCGGGCCCGGAGCCCGGCCCGAGCGCTGGATCGCCGTCGCGGCCGCGCCCGGCCGCCGCCACCGCCGAATCCCGGATGAAATCCGTTATACTTGTTGTCGTCGCTGTCTTCGTCATCTTCTCCGGCGTCGTACATCTCATCGTCCGACGACGGCTATGCCAATCTTGAAACTCCACGATCCTGATCCGCACTAGATACCTTAACGCCGGTACCTCGTCGTGGATAATCTCCTAAGGCCGGAGATACAGAGGAGACCCGCCGTCGTGCTCCTCCTCAGGCTCGGGGATGGCCATGATCTTCTCATCCGGTATCAGGTCAGGGTGAGCGCACCAAGCCGCGACGAACATCTCTCGCTCGTCGTCGGGATCCAGGAGCGCCTCGGGGTTTGCGATCTCCACCCGCGCGCTGGACGACCCAAGAATCGTCTGGGCAGTGTCGGAGGATCGAGCATGTGCTGGGATCCCCTTCATCCCGACGAGCACCTGGAAGCGAAAGGCCCCTGCAGACGGCATGAACAGTCTGCTCCAACGACGCCACCGTAGCGCGAACGGGGCAGCTGCCGGCCAAGGCGTGCTCAGCACCATCTCCAGGTCTTTCTTGCCGGCTAAAATGCGCGATGAAGTAAACCGGCATGGTGCGATGCACGGTGACCATGTTCTCCGCGATGCCGAAGTACTCACCTAGGCACTCCCGCACCATCTCCGGAGACACCGGCGGCCGCGTGCCGAGCACCAGCGCGACCAAAGCCAGAGATAGAGCGTCCTCCGCCGCCTAGATGGCCGGGGAACGCGGGACAACGACAACTCCAGCAGCGTCCTTCTGACACGCGTCCTAGTTGAAGCCGAAGCATCCATAGGCGCCTCATCCTGCACGACCATAGCATTCCCCTCCCGCGCGTCCGGGCACGCATTCGGCAGGTGGTCCGGCGTCAGCGGCTCACAGGCAGGGGGGACGGTGGGAGCACGACCGGTGGAGACTGACCTGGCGAATGCCATATCCGCAGGCGAGACGCGACGGCAAGAGGGAGAGGCCCGGTGACGGTGGGCACCCCGAGCTACCGCAGCGATGCGGACCGGGGAGCGACCACGCTGGCCCTCAGCACGCTTGGCGACCGGCGGCAGCGGACAGTCACGTGCTTGGTGACCGGGCTCCTTGCAGTTGAAGCACTTGGACGGCAGAGTGCAATCAGCACGAACGTGGTCCGTGGCGAAGCAGTTGAAGCACTTCCCGACCTGGTCCGCGGGGACCGGCCGGGACTTGCTTGCGACGACCGCCCGCCTCCACCGCCGGCGGCTGTGGACCTCCCTGAACCCATCGGAGTCCGGCTCAGCGGACATGCGGACCGAGTGGATGACAATGGATGCCAGCCTACGCGGAGACGGCGGCCTAGAGTTGGCGCGGCGCGTTAGCCATGAACCCCACATGTGGTTGCGACGATGGCCGCGCCTGCGCTGCCTCCTTGGAAGGCGGACCGCCTTGCCACGACCAACAGACGGCGGCGCGTCGGAGTCGTCGAGTGATGCCTCGGAGACGGAGAAGCGTAGCCTCTCCGCCCCCGACCCGCCTGGGGACGCGATGTAAGTGGAGCTAGACCGGAGGACATGTGTAGCGTGGGCGGCCGCCGCTAGTGGAGGAAGGTGGTGAAGGGCAGATCTCGCCATGCTCAGGGCTGCCTCCTCCTCCTCCTCCACTTCGTCCGCCCAGGAACGTCGGGAAGGGGAGCCGCGCTCCATTCTTGGGTGGTCGGCGCGACCAAAGCAGTCAGCGGCGAGCTTGGGTGGTGGACGCCGAGGCCTGGGTGGCCGGCGGCGCTTGGGAGGGGCGGTGGACGCCGGGGCCGGAGTGGCCACCGGCGGGGCTGGGGAGCGCTCTCTCACCTAGAGAGAAGCTAGAGAGAGATGCCCCTGTTGTCATGACCGCCGACGACACATTCGATAAAGGGTTATTTGCCTTCTTGCCATTATAATTTCTTAAATTTTGAAGAACGTCATTATTATTCATCTTATTGAAAACTTGCTATTACTATTCTACTTCTCCCTCACTTTTGCCCTTTTCTACGTCTGGAGGGTATCTAGGCCCACCTGTAGGTGCCGTATTTCTGTATGGGCCCGTATTGCCCCTTCTCTGGCGCACGCATGTCGCGGCAGAACACGCCCCGGAACGGTGGGCTCAATGGCGTCGCTGCAGTCGCCACTTCTTCTTCTTCTTGCTTGGGTTCGGACTCTGCCATGGCAGCCAAAGCAGCAGCCGCGGCGGCGTCCTTGGCCCTCTGCCTCTCGGCAGCCTCCTCGTCCAGCACAGCCGACATGATGAACGCCCTTTTGCAGCATCCGGTAGAGGAACAGTGCCAACATGCGCGCCTGGTCACGCACAGCCTCCAGGTCGCGGTGCTCGTCCACAAGCTCCAGCCTCTCTGCGAACGAGACTGACCGATCAGGCTTCAACTTCAGCGTCAGCACCAGGTGCTCGCGCTCCAGCTCCGAGCGCGTGCACCCGCGCTGCACCCCGAGGAGGGTGTAGTAGTCCACGCTGCGCCCCTCGCCGGCGGCGACGCGGCCGCGGAGCTGCTGGATACGCGTGGTGAGCGTGCGGTGCGCGCCTGCGATCTCCCTGAACCGGATGCCGCCCTGCGGCCGCCAGCTCGGCCCCGGCAGCTTGCCGTCCCGGAGCGCGGCGTCGTACAGGAGCTTGAGGTGGTCGAGGTCCCGGAGGCAGTCCGGGAGCGCCCCAACCGACTCAAGCAGGTCGGCGCGCGCGCGTAGCGCCGGGATGAAGGCCGGGTCGAGCGCCAGCGCGCGATTGTAGTCCGCGATGGCGTCCGTGGGGCGCCCCGCCGAGCGGAACGCGGCGGCACGGCCAACGAGGCAGGCCATGGCAGCACGCTGCGGCGCGTGTCGAGCACCTTGTTGAAATGCCGCACGGCCTCGCTGAAAGGTCCTAATGGCTAGAGGGGGGGTGAATAGCCTAATAAAATTCTACAACAACACTTAACAAAATGTGTTAGACAATTTTGCGGCTAAGCGAGTGTTGCGCTAGCCTACTAAAATGCAAGCCACCTACCACAATTCTATTTCGAATAGTGTATGTCCACACAATAGCTATGACACTTAGCTAAATTAGTGTGCTCTCAAAGACTAACTAAAGAGCAATACTAATCAAATAAACAAGCTCTCACAACTAGCTACACTAAAGAGCTTGATAACTAGTTTGCGGTAATGTAAGAGCGAGCAAGAGAGTTATACCGCCGTGTAGTGGTAGGAACCAATCAATCACAATAATGAATACCAATGTAGACCAATCACCTCGGAATCAAATGATGAACACAATGATTTTTACCGAGGTTCACTTGCTTGCCGGCAAGCTAGTCCTCGTTGTGGCGATTCACTCACTTGAAGGTTCACGCGCTGATTGACATCACTCGCCAAACCCTCAATAGGGTGCCGCACAACCAACACAAGATGAGAATCACACAAGCCACAAGCAATTTACTAGAGTACCTTTTGGCGCTCCACCGGGGAAAGGTCAAGAACCCCTCACAATCACCAAGATCGGAGTCGGAGACAATCACCTCCTCCACTCAACGATCCTTGCTGCTCCAAGCCGTCTAGGTGGCGGCAACCACCAAGAGTAACAAGCGAAATTCATAGCGAAACACAATCACCAAGTGCCTCTAGATGCAATCACTCAAGCAATGCACTTGAATTCACTCCCAATCTCACAAAGATGTTTAATCTATGATGAAAATGAGTGGGAGAACTTTGGCTAGGCTCACAAGGTTGCTATGTCAATGAAAATGGCTAAAGATGTGAGTCACAGCCGGCCATGGGGCTTAAATAGAAGCCCCCACGAAATAGAGCCGTTATACCCCTTCACTGGGCAAAACGCGCTCTGACCGGACGCTCCGGTCATACTGACCGGACGCTGGCCCTCAGCGTCCGGTCGCCCGATGGACGCCACGCGTCACCAGCTTCAAACGCTGTTCGTCAGATTTCAACGGCTACGAAGCTGACCGGACGCTCCGGTAAAACTGACCGGACGCTGAAGCCCCGGCGTCCGGTCGTTTCTAGTAAGCTCCCGAGGCATGTTTTTTTTCGACGGACGCGTCCGTCCCACTTAACCGGACGCGCGCGCCGTCCGGTGCTCAACCCTAGCCATCGTGTGTCGTCGACGCTCGACCGACGGACATGACCTTTCAGCGTCCGGTCGCTGAGTGACCCAGCGTCCGGTCAGTAGACCGACGCCAGCATCATTTCGATCAACTCCATTTCAACTCTTACTTCTTCACCCTTGCTCAAGTGTGCCAACCACCAAGAATTTTGCATCCGGCGCAATAGAAAATAGACATTTCAACCATACAAACACCTTGTGCACATGTGGTAGCATATTTACACAAATATTATCAAGGGTGTTAGCACTCCACTAGATCCTAAATGCATATGCAATGAGTTAGAGCATCTAGTGGCACTTTGATAACCGCATTCCGATACGAGTTTCACCCCTCTTAATAGTACGGCTATCAAACCTAAATGTGATCACACTCTCTAAGTGTCTTGATCACCAAAATAAAATAGCTGCTACAAGTTATACCTTTGCCTTGAGCTTTTTGTTTTTCTCTTTCTTCTCTTCAAGTTTAAGCCCTTGATCATCTCCATGCTATCACCATTGTCATGTTATGATCTTCATTTGCTTCTCTACTTGAAGTGTGCTACCTATCTCATGATCACTTGATGAACTAGGTTAGCACTTAGGGTTTCATCAATTTACCAAAACCAAACTAGAGCTTTCACTCGCCGGGGAGGCCGGCGTCCAGCGCCGCCACCGCCGCGGCGTGGCGGCGGCAGAGGAGCTTCACGTGCCCGAGCAGCTGCGACACGGACTCCGCCTCGGACGCTGTTGTAGAGCTGGACTTATTGGAGGACGACGTCCTTCTGTTGGTGGGAGCACCACCGCGGTGGCCAGGTGGCGGCCAGTTTGGAGGAACACCACCGCGTCCTCCATCAGGGCGAGGTGGAAGCAAGCTTGGCCCAGGACCAAGTACCTCCACTGGGCCTCGGTGTTGGAGCTCCTAGAGAAGCTGGAGACGAGGCGGCGCTTGAGGTCGGATATGTCGAGGTAGTAGAGGAAGCGGGTGGCGCCAGGTGTCAAGCGGTCGTCGGTCCGGGACAGGAGCTCGCCTCGAGCGCACGAGCAGGACAAGGTGGTGGTGGTGGCGTCGTCGCCCGAGCACGACTTGGCGTGGCTGGGATGTAGTCGCGGAGCATGTCGGCGACGTCGCGGTAGTGCTGGCGTGAGGAGCGCAGGCGCCGGAGCTCAGCGCCGCCTCGCCCGGGCGACATCTCCAGAGCGGAGGTCACCAAAGCCGAGCGCCGCCCGCGCGTCGTCCGCATCCTCGGTGTCATGCATCACCGCCGAAGCAGCGCCCTTGGCGCCTCGCCGAGGTACTGTCGATCACTGTCAGACATCGCAATCACTGCTGGGAGTAACAGGCGCAAGCAGAAGAAGGGGAAGAACGAGGAAGAGTGCGAGAGAAGAACGGAGGCGGCAGAGAAGAACGGGGGCGTGCTGCTCAGCCTTATCCTGTCGTACAGGGGTAATATGGGCCTATACGGAAATACGGCACCTGTAGGTGAGCCTAGCTACGCTCCAGATGTAGAAAAGGGCAAGAGTGAGGGGGAAGCATAATAGCAATGACAAATTTCCAATAAGACGAATAGTAATGGCGTTCTTTAAAACTTGAGAAATTATAATGGCAAGAGTCTAAATAACCCTTCGATAAATGGGCATTTTTCAAGCAGCTTCATTGAAACATGCTCTCGCAAGGGACTGGGGCAGGGTGAAGCTAAAAATATTTGCTTCTCCCAAATAGCTGGGTTACATGGATTTATAAGAGTATATTTTAACAAGTTTTATACGTAGAATTGTTTTGTTAAACAATTTATTAAAACAACTTTAGCTCCTCTCTGTATTGGCTCTCTGTGAAGTGAAGAAAAAAACCAATTCGCTGGTGGAGCGAAGGTACGTAAAATGAGGCTAGTATTGGCTCTCTCAGGACGCATCTAACAGTGCAACAGGAGAGAGCACGTGCTCAAGGACACATTTTATTTTCTCCCACATCGGGCCGTCGCCACTAGACAGCAATAATCGATCTTCCTTGACAGTACAACACTTCTGTTTTTGAGAGAACAAACAACAGACAACACTCTCTGTGACTACACATATGATGGACGAAACTCAAACTCTGTTGCAGACCCTCATCATCCGTAGCTGCAAACGTCATCCGGCCGCGCAGCAACGACAAATGAAAGGCGCAAGAGCGAGGGTTCAAATGGTGGTTAATTAATGGTGCTGAGGATCGGGCCCGCTGGGGCTCGCCCTCTTCGACTCGAAGTAGGCCGCGGCGCCCAGCATTCTCCGGCCCGTGATCACCACCACCGCCGCGACCGCGAGGCGACGACAGTCAGGCTCGCTGTGGCTGCGGGGGGCGATGGCGAGGCGACGACGACAGTCAGGCTCGCTATGGCTGCGGGCGGCGACGACGACGGTCGTGGACAGGAGGAGCACGGCGCAGAGCAGCACCTTCATCAGCGTATTCAAGTTGGTGATGGACGCCATTGCAGCAGCTCGTCCTTCGTTCGGCGGCTTGGTGTACGTGCGTGGTCGTCGGTCGGTCAACGTCGTCCTCGTGGAATCCTAGAACGTAGGAGTGGAGCTATCTAGCTTTGTGGGCTGTGTGGCAGCTTGGATTCGATGGCTTGTGTTGGTAGTTGCTCGATACCGATGGAGGATTTATAGGCTGGTGCCTGGTGGTTAGTGTTATTGCTGCATGCAATAGCAATACATAGGTGGAGGTCCCTCTGTGCCGCACACTGTCATGATAGATAGAGACCTCAGAAAAAATTGAAACGACTTTTTGAGATCGAGGACAGCGAAGTGATGACCTAGTTTAAGCCATGTTGCAGGTAGGTTCCCATTTCCTTTTACACCAGACTGGCCCTCTGGAATCTGGATCAGAATTTTTAGCCGATTCTTGTGCATACATATGCATCCTGATTGATGCTCCAAGTGGACGATGACTGGTCCAGCCAGCAGCTTCCTGATAGAGGCCAGTTAGCCACGCATTTAGTTTCTATATAAGTGTGGAAGGAAAACCGTTACTGATTGCCAGATTTCATTCGTGAATAACCGGCCTAGACGACGTCACACGCACGCACGATCGAGCAATCGGCTGGAAGCTCCTTATGGAGCTAACTGCTAGCCAGATCGGAGATCACCTCGGACGAATTAACAGGCACCGTAATATGGACATATATGAACTTTATGTGTGGCCCTGCTCTACGATCATTTGCTAACGAGTAACACAAGAGCCCTCCACGTATTCCGATGCACCATTAACTGGCTAACTGCTTAACAAGGACGTGACCAATTCGGCATTGCCTTTTCGATGTCGAAGTGTCGAACGAACTCCCTTTGGAAAAGAGGCACTTTCTAGTATTGCTAGTTCGTTCGTTTCGTTTCTACTCCCTCTGGCGTACGGCAAAGGTGACGATGCAACAAAAAGTAAGCAACCTATAGCTAGCTACAGTGACATCCTTGTAGGCGATCGAGTACAATAGTGGTACGTACGCACATACCGTTGGCCTAGCTCCTCTCGTCCTCCGCTCTGCATGTCTTTCTACCTCAGCTCTTTGAAGATTCCATGCCTTTCTACCTTCTCGTGCGCCATTGTTATTAGTGCTGGACAAAATACTCGTGGCTCGCCAACTCGCTCAACTCGTGGCCGGCTCAGCTTGGCTCGTTTTGACTTTTTCACGAGTTGAGCTGGAAGTCTAGCTCGCTGTTTTAACGAGCCAGCTCGCGAGCTGAGGCCTATCAGCCCACGACCATGAATCCAAAAGATAATAATGCTGACCTAGAAATGTTAACCTATTCTATTGGTATGTAATCCATATTTTCAGCTGTTTTATATGGATTGTGATTTTATAATTGTCGTTATACTTAAATATTGATTTATGGATTATTTTCCAGAGAGAAGATGGCAATGCTGATATTGAATTTGTGGACTTTTCTAAGTTTGTGGTGGCAAGCAACTAGTAAGGCCATGTTCGCTGGGAGGAATTTGGAGGAATCTGGATGAATTTGTGATAGAGTGAACAGTGTTTTTCATCCGTGCACAGTGAAATCCGGCTGGTTTCTCAACCAGCCGAACGAGCCCTAAGTATGTTGGAACTGCATGAATCTTAGATGGACTAACTATGTTGCATGGTTGATACTTTTGATGAATCTGATGTGTATTAATCATGTATGGTTGCATAATAGTGGACGTGACCTTCTGAAATTAATGTAGCATAAACATTATAAGCATGTGTGTCATATTTTTTTATAGCTCACGAACTAAATGAGCTAGCTCGAACTCGCTAATGAGCTGAGCCGAGCTGCCCCTCTAGCTCGTAATATTACGAGCTGAGCCGAGCTGGCTCGTTAGCCAAACGAGTCAGCTCGAGCTGGACCGAGCTGACTTGATATCTAGCTAATTGTTATTATTGTATATTCGTTCATGCACGCACGATGGCTTCATTAGGCCGCGATCCGTGTCAGTTTTCACTGCCTTCTGCATCACGTCCTATTCGCCGGACGGACGGAGCAATGGCGGCAAAGCGTCGCTCTTCGACTCTTGGTGCGTGACCGCGCCATGGCCCCTACGCATGCGTGGCTCCTCGACTCGATCGTCGTCTTATGCTCAACTACCATCATGTGGACCTCCAATGCGTCAGATCCGGTCCGGCCAGGCGGCCACCAACGTCGCCGGCCATTGGCAGCTTTTGTTTCTGCCGTCATGGCTCGTACCCACAAAATGCTGTACGTACGGAGTACTATGTTTTATGGAACGAGGAGGAAATGAAAAGGCATGCACGACCAGTGACCTGGTACACACTAGTTAACGGCAGAAATGCAACGATCGGATTACGCTTGCTTATCTTGTTCAGTAGATTGGAACGGACATGTACTTTGTGAATTGGCAGAGCATGTAAAAAGGTGAAACAGACCTCCATGAATATGACTGTACCGTCCACAACAGATCACTGTACGCGAAGAAGAGCACTATCCACTTTTGTAGACGCAACCTCGCAAGTGCTTTCTGGTGAAAGTTACCCAGATAAATAAATGAAATATATATACACAGGCAGGTACAACGGCAGGGGCACGAAGAACCGAAATGATAGGCCAGGCGCTAATCGGGTAGGAAAGGTAGCCTCGTGATGCCATTCTGGGTATGATCCAAGTCATCGGAGCTCTCTGAATCGGCGAGCCCCGCTGGGGTTTCTTTCTGGATAGTAGCTTCAGCTTCTTTTGGCGCGAAGTGCGGAAGGATCCTCACGTACGCGTTAGGCTCCTGGCCGATTACCTCCCACTGCAGGCTGAAGCTTTCGACGAGATCCACTTGGGATGAGATGATGCTTGATGGCCTCGGCAGTAGCTGCACGCTCTCGCCTTTCGGGATCACTACTTGCTCGATTGCCAGCCTTGCCTCCTGAACATCGGGAAACAACCATTGGATGCTTTGTTCAGGACGAGTAACGATGTTACGGTGAAGGCGGTCAGGAATCCGCCGAAAAGAAAAGGCGTGTAGATGCGCAGGGATGATAGCGTACCTCCAGAGCATCAGTTTCCTCTGATGATCTTGCTTCTTCCTTACCATCATGTCCATCGTAGTCTATCACTTCGTCCATGTGATCGTCAACAAGAGCACGAAGTGCCCGAGTGATTTGAGACAGGGAGTTTGTCTGCGAAGAACAGAGAGCCAATACAATGAATAAGAATTCCTGGAACTTGAATATTAACAGTGTCCTGTAAATGGCAAGTGTGGAGGCAAACCTTCACGAAGAAAACCGGTATATCTTGAGATTTCACCACAGCCTGAATCTGAGAATTCTTCTTGAGCTTTGAATGTAACGCGATCACTGCATCAGCTTCACTGATATTATAAGTTAAGGTAACAATGTCCTCCAACTCCAGCTGTTGAATGGCTTGCAAGGCAGTCGACTCGGAGATCTAGAACAGCCTATCCAATAAGTTACAGACTAAGTTCGGAAAACTTAACAAAAAAAGTTTTAGAACAAAACTATGTGGCCAAATGCTATAACCACTATTGTTGCAGTGACAGGAGCGGGTATGCAAACAGATTATAGTAAGTTACTGAATTAGGTATTTGCAATTCTGTGTACCCAAATAAAAGGAATCACAAATTTTAAAATGTAGGCATGCAGATTATAGTAAGTAACAAGACAACTTGGCTTCCCACACCACTCCAGAAAAAAGATCATCAGGGTTCAGGGATGATTAAATATCATAGAGGCTTATGGGCAACTCACCAGTTCAGCATCCTTTTCAATGGAACATACCTACCTTACCCTAATAGTGCTACTACACATAACAAAACAGCAAAGATCCATATCATACAGGCCTTGAAGTAACTGACCAGATAATCATACTTTTGAGTGGTAGATACTTACTGTACCTTAATAGTTCTGTTTTATATAACCAACATACCTACCATACCCTAATTGTTCATATCAAATGATGCAACTATAGTAAGGGGGGAGGGGGTAGCACTTTGCCGCACTCAGCACTTTGTATACAAAATCATAATGCAGAGAAACTACATGATGTAAAGGGGCACACTGCTCAGAAAACTAGGACATCAAAAGAATGAGCTATTGAAGACATCCGTACCCCATATGCATATAGATTCAAGCTTGAATCAGCTCCATCTGTCCTCTCTATATGCCCTTCAGCAGAGTCAAGATTAAATGCAGTGTCCAAGCTTCTTCTGGCATTCCTTAGAGAGTCACCGTCAAATTCAGTTGCATCATAGATACCAAGATGTGATTGTTCCTTTTGCACAGAAACTTCCTGCACCAATCCCTTTGAACCCAACTTCCGAATTTCAACATTAGGCAGCTTCCCTGCACCAACAAAAGTGCAAGATGAATCATTGTGACATCAGATCTACACATTTCCATGTTCAATATCATAAATAACATCATCAAATTTAACATGATAATGCAGCTAAGTAATAGAGAAATCGGTGAGAACCTGCGAGTAGAGCATCTACTGTGGCTTCCAGACTACGATGGACACGTAATTCTTTTTTCGAGACGATCTCTGCAGCACATGTAAATGTTGATGGGCCCTTGCGCTCTAGGACAGTTTTTTGAACTCCTCTCCGGTTAGCTTCTTCATCACCAAGTGTGACACTCCTTTAGATAAGAAAGGGCATGATTAGAAATCTTCTTTTTTCTTTTGACCAAAAAGTAAAGAGAAACACAAAAACTGCACATAAGGTGCTTCTGTGCTTTCCGAGAAGAAAGCTAGGCTTCTGCTATAACAATTAGTTGCTAGGTTGCACTCAACCATTTGACAAAAAAAATTTCTCTATATGAAATCTTCCTTTGGGAAGCATAGAAAAAACCTTCAGCAAAGCAAACTTTAAGAACTGAAAAGTCACACGTACTCAGACACGGTACAGATAAATCAGTACATGGCCTCTGTCATGATCAAAAATGAGTACACAAGGCACACAACTTAATTTACGAATAAAGTCAAGTTTCTCTCAATATTTTTTACCTATTCCATTTCTAGTATTCAGCAACTATTTCTGAAAACTTTCTTGTCATCAAGAAAGCAGTGATATGCCGATTAATAACAATCTTGCCATGTGTTCCTCTCTTATATTGGATCATGGAATTGTTACAAGCAATGTTTGATTGAATAATTTGATGTGCCATTTCAAGCAGCAAGAGCCAGGAAACAGCAGAACTACATCTTTGAATGGATTTCTGAAAGATTTCCAAGTCAATAATCGAGTCAGGTAATGAAGTTATAGAGGTACACTGTTATTTTTCATTGTTTTTACCTAATACAACAACAACATAGCCTTTCAGTCCCAAGCAAGTTGGGGTAGGCTAGAGTTGAAACCCACCAAGAGCCCCAAGTCACGGTTCAGGCACTTCAATAGCTGTTTTCCAAACACTCCTATTCAAACATAAATCTCTAGGTATATCCCAAACTTTCAAATCTCTTTTTATTGCCCCCTCTATGTCAATTTCAGTCTTCCTCTATCTCTCCTCATATTATTAGCTTGGCTTAGGACTCCACAATGCATAGGTGTCTCTGGAGGTCTCCTTTGGACATGGCCAAACCACCTCAACAGATGTTGGACAAGCTTTTCTTCAATTGGTGCTACCCCTAGGTGATCACGTATATCATCGTTCTGAACTCAGTCCATTCTTGTGTGACCATAAATTCATCACAACATACACATTTCTGCAACACTCGGTTGTTGAACATGTCGAATCTTTGTAGACCAACATTCTGCTCCATACAACATAGCCGGTCTAATTGTCGGTCTATAAAACTTGCCTTTTAACTTTTGTGGTACCCTCTTGTCACAGAGAATGCCAGAAGCTTGTCACCACTTGATCCATCCTACTTTGATTCTATGGCTAACGTCCGCATCAATATCTCCATCCCTCTGTAGCATCGATCCTAGATACCGAAAGATATCCTTCTTAGGCACTACTTGACCTTCTAAACTCACATCTCCCTCCTCTTGTGCAGCTCCGCCAAAGTCGCATCTCATGTATTCGGTTTTAGTTTTGCTCAATCTAAAACATTTAGACTCAAGGATCTGCCGCCATAACTCTAGTTTCCTATTTACTACCACATGGCTTTCTTCCACTAACACTACATCATCAGCGAACAACATACACCAAAGGATATCCCCTTGAATGTTCCTGGTAACCTCATCCATTAACAAGGCAAAGAGACACGGGCTTAAGGTTGACCCTTGATGAAGTGCAATTTTAATCGGGAAATAATCTATGTTACCATCGATTGTTCGAACACTAGTCACAACATTGTTGTACATGTCCTTGATGAGGGTCACGTACTTTGATGGGACTTTATATTTGTCCAAAGCCCACCACATAACATTTCTTGGTATCTTGTCATAAGCCTTCTCCACGTCAATGAAAACCATGTGGAGGTCATTCCTCTGCTCTCTAAACCGCTCCATAACTTGTCTTATTAAGAAGATTGCTTCTATAGTTGATCTTTCGGGCATGAAACCAAATTGATTTGTTTATATCTGCGTCGTTCCTCGCAGGCGCTGCTCGATGACTCTCTCCCATAACTTCATAGTGTGTCTCATCAACTTAATTTCCCGATAATTAGTACAACTTTAGATATCTCCCTTGTTCTTGTAGATTGATACCAATATGCTTCTTCTCCACTGCTCAGGCATCTTGTTCGATTTGTTGAATATCTTGGTTAGCCATACTATAGCTATATCCCCGAGACATCTTCACACCTTGATTGGGATACCATCAGGGCCCATCCCTTTGCAACTTTCATCCTTTTCAAGGCTTCTCTGACCTCTGATTCTTAAATCCTCCGCATAAAGCGCCTGTTCGTATCATCAAACGAGTCGTCCAGCTGAATGATGGTGTTCTTGTTCTCACCATTGAACAATTTATCAAAATACTCTTGCCATCTATGTCTAATCTCATCCTGCTTCACCAAGACCTGCTCCCTCTCATCCTTTACGCACTTGACTTGGTTGAAGTCCCTTGTCTTCTTATCGCGAGCCCTAGCCACCCTATAAATGTCCTTCTCTCCTTCCTTCATACTCAAACGTTGGTAAAGGTCCTCATAGGCCAACCCCTTTGCCTCACTCACCGCTTGTTTTGCAGTCTTCTTTGCCACCTTGTACTTCTCTATGTTGTCTGCACATCTGTCATAATACAAGTGCTTATAGCACTCCTTTTCCTTAATAGCCTTTTGCACATCTTTATTCCACCACCAAGTGTCTTTCGAGTCGCATCCGCTCCCTTTGGTCACTCCAAGCACCTCTGAAGCAACCTTCCGAACGTATGTTGCCATCTTCTCCCACATGCTGTTTGCATTGCCCTCATCCTTCCAAGGGCCCTCTTTAATGACCTTTTTCTTAAAGACCTTTAATGCCTCCCCTTCTAATTTCCATCACTTTGTTCTAGCAACCCTAGCTTGTTTGTTCCCACGAGCTTGCACCAGAAAGCGGAAGTCAGCCACCACTAGCTTATGTTGAGCGACCACACATTTTCCAGGTATCACCTTACAGTCCTCGCATGTTCGTCTATCACTCCTTGTAAGGACAAAGTCGATTTAACTAGAGTACTGGCCGCTACTAAAGGTCACTAAATGGGACTGTCTCTTACGAAAGAAAGTGTTAGCTATCATCAGATCAAAAGCTATGGCGAAGTCTAAGACTTCTTCTCCCTCTTGGTTCCTACTACCATATTCGAAACCCCCATGAACCGCCTCGAAACTTGCACTTGATGTACCTACATGGCCATTAAGATCACCTCCTGTAAAGAGCTTCTCGCTACTAGGGACAGCTCTAATCAAGCGATCTAAGTCTTCCCAGAAAGCCGCTTAGCACTCTCATCATGGCCTACTTTGGGGGCATACGCACTAATTACATTTAAGACCATATCACTAATGACAAGTTTAACTAAGATGATCCTATCCCCTTGTCTTCTCACCTAGTAGAACTGTTAATTTTTACTGTGGTATGCAAAGACAATATTTTGGGAACAGGAAATAGGATGATGCAGAACATCCTTACCTGTATTCCTCCCACAAGCATCTCTAGTGATGGGTTCATGATCAGATTCTCTATTGTTACCCCATGGGCAGTTGCAACAAGCTGTATGCCCCTCTGTGCAATGGTGCTTGCAGCCATGGCCTCTAGTTTAGTTCCAATTTCATCAATAACAATTGCCTGAGGCATATGGTTTTCCACAGCTTCTATCAGTACCTGATTGATATTGAATAAACGAATCAGCACACACGGTAAGTGTTGAACTAAAAAGCACGCCAGTGTCTAATGCACAGATAAATCGGTCCAGTGACCCTCTTAAACCATAGACGAGTTCTGATCATACAAGCAAAAGCCGCCGCCGGGAGAGAGGGGGGTATTCCCTAATCCTTATAGGAGTATGGGTAGATTTTCAAATATTGCCAGGCACTGTAAAACCCCTTTTGCATCTGGGGTGGGTGACAGAGACAGACTTTTGGGTTACACTATGGCATATACAATACAGAATATATAATTTACTTGACTGGAAGCACAGTTAAGAAGAATACTAATTTATAGGCCTACAGTTTTATTCATCCTGTATATATAGGACCAAACAGCTCATTTCAGGTACAGGTAACAGACCTTATGCTGCATGTCTTGGTTAGGCACTTGCAACCTGCGTGCATTGCCTATTCCAGGGTGAGGAATATCACCATCCCCACCAATCTCATTAGATGTGTCGACAATCATAACCCGCTTCTTATTGTCATCAGCTAACATTCGGGCAATTTCTCTGCATGACAAGACAACAACATGATGCTAAAATGGGTAGATACTGGTAGTCTGGTACTCTGTCACATAAAACCTGTGTGATCGTATAGTATTTCTCAATCACAACTACTCAATCAACATCGAAATCCAGTTTGCCGGCCCGATCCTACCTTATGACAGTAGTCTTCCCCACCCCAGGTGGGCCAATGAGCAGCAATGAGCCACCATCCTTAACCAAATCCTGAAGCAAATTGGCGCTCCCGGGCACTGCACGCCCAACACGGCAAGTGAGGCCTACAATGACGCCCTTCCGGTTCCGAATAGCGCTGATCCGGTGCAGCGTCTGGCTGATTCCAGCACGATTATCCGCTCCAAAGTCCCCAACCTAGCACAAGGCACATTATCACTCTAATCAAGCAAGCTAACTCGCCACGCTTAACAGATTATAAGCGCAGTGGTTTGGGCTGGACCTGGGAGGTGGCATGGCGGAGGTCGTCAAAGGAGATGGGGCGGTGGGAGAGGAGGAAGTCTCCGGACGGGAAGCGCGCGAGCGGGGGCCGGCCAAGGTCCATGACCACCTCCACGAGCGCCGGGAGCTCCGGGTGGGTTTCCACCCGCCGCCTCAGCTCCCCAGGGAGAAGCTCCAGGAGCCGCCGCAGCTCCTCCTCGGACCCATCCGGCCACGCCTCGGCCTCGCCCCGCGCGGCGCAGAGGGGGCGTGGGCGCCCACCGCGGCGTTGGGCTAGGGAGCGACCCGCAAGAGGGCAGGACGCGACGGAGGGTGAGCGGGAGGCATAGCGGCGAGAAGGAGAGATAGGGTGGGGCGGAACAAGGGAGAGACGGAGGCGGAGGTGGAGCGGCGGCGGGGGCGGCATCGGCGTGGGGCGCGGCCGGAGCGGACGACGGGACGGAGTGGAGGGAGAGCGTTTGCGATGGGGAGCCGTTGTTTCGGTTTCGGTTTGCCGCACGTTCGGATGGCTGTGCTGATGCTGATTGGTTGTGTACTGTTATTTTTGCTGAAAGGTTGATATCACGCCACGACAAAACAGTTGAATGCCAGTTTTCCCAGCTACGGCCTTGTTTGATGCGCATGTATTCATCTCAATCCATATGTGATGAAGTGTATTGGAGTGAAATTAAACTAAATTTCATTCCATTCCACTCCTATACATGTGAATTGAGTTGGATACACATGCATCCAAACAAGACCTACAGCCCAAGGCGTCTTCTTGGATCGGAATCATCACATGTGTGGCCTTGTGGGAATCGCGTACAATCACGCCAAAATTATACCATTTTGTATAAGTTATTTGCGGTACTTTTAGATAGGACTTCCTCTCTCAGGTTTCATCCTACATTAGTAGCCAGAGTTGGAGACGAAAGAGCCACAAAACATGGCTTCTTCTAACTTATAAATTCATTTGGTGAAAAGAGAGAGAAACAGTTCTTAGTGTTGTTACAATTGTTGTTGCAAGAGGAACTAGAGTCGCAAGAAACTGTGCCTAAAATCTTAAGAACTATAGAAGGAAGCAACCCCACCACCAATTGATGTCTCGTGAACCATGTTGTGTGGACCAAGTCGTGACTTCTGGCATTTTCAGAACTACGACTATGCTTTGATTTGCTAATAGTCGTGACTCGTGATCCGTCGAGAGTTGACTCTGTGCAAGCAAGTGACTCCGTACAAGATTGGAGTAAATGAAGGTCAAAATGCCGACGAATATTAGAACATGACAAAATTTGTCGGTTCCGACAGGGGGGCGCACTCTCCGCCAGACTTCTCCTGGCCGGCGTTCCTAGCGTGGCGGCGGGGCGGGGCTACTGCTGACCCCTCTGAAAGATCCTAATATGGCTAGAGGGGGGTGAATAGCCTATTTAAAAATCTACAAATCAACTAGAGCAATTTGATTAGTATGACAAATAGCGAAATGCAAATTTGCTCTAGCTCTACAAGGGTTGCAAGCCACCTATCAACAATTCTAGTTGCAATGATTACTAGGCACACAACTTGCAATGTTACTACTCACTAAGAGCTCTCAATCTTACTACTCTAAAGAGCCCCACTAGATAAACTTAAAATAACAAAGCAAGCTCTCAATTCTAATTACACTGAAGAGCTTGCCACAACTAGTTTGCAAGAATATAAATGAGTGAGTAGGGTGATTATACCGCCGTATAAAGGAGCGAACCAATCACAAGGTGAATATTAAATCAATCACCGGGAGAATACCAAATGGCAAGAGACAACCAATTTTCTCCTGAGGTTCACGTGCTTGCCAACACGCTACGTCCTCGTTGTGTCGACCAACACTTGGTGGTTCGGCGGCTAAGAGGTGTTGCACAAACCTCGTCCACACAATTTGGACACCACAAGAACCTACCACAAGTGAGGTAACTCAATGACACGAGCAATCCACTAGAGTTACCTTTCGGTGCTCCGCCGGGAAAGGTACAAATCCCCTCACAATCACCGGAGATGGCCACGAACAATCACCGACTCGTGCCAATCCTCCTCCGCTGCACCAATCCGTCTAGGTGGTGGCAACCACCAAGAGCAACAAGTGAATCCCGCAGCAAAACACAAACACCAAGTGCCTCTAGATGCAATCACTCAAGCAATGCACTTGGATTCTCTCCCAATCTCACAATGATGATGAAACAATGATGGAGATAAGTGAGAGGGCTTTGACTAAGCTCACAAGGTTGCTATGTCAATGCAAATGGCTAAGAGGGTGAGCTTGAACCGGCCATGAGGCTTAAATAGAAGCCCCCACGAAATAGAGCCGTTGAGCTCCTCACTGCACTGAACACGGACCGACCAGACACTCCGGTCAGATTGACCGGACGCTGGACCTCAGCGTCCGGTCGCGCGATGCACGCCACGTGTCCCCTCTCTTCAAATACTGAGCGCCCGATCCCAACGGTTAAGTGGTGACCGGACGCGCTGTTGCGAAGTGACCGGACGCTGGACCTCAGCGTCCGGTCATTTCCAGTAAAGTTCCATTCGTGCAAAATTACGACCGGACGCGTCTGGTCATGCTCGACCGGACTCACCCAGCGTCCGGTTACTCAATGTCTCCTCTGTGCACCACCACGTCAGCATTGACCGGACTCAGACCATGAGCGTCCAGTCAGTTTACACGCCAGCGTCCGGTCATAAGACCGAGACCGTGTGCTTACTGCTGTCACTGACCGGACTCTGAACCCAGCGTCCGGTCACTGCACCACAAGCGTCCGGTCACTCTGTGAACCCCTGTCTTTTCTGTATTGGGCGCCGGTGGCACCGTCGGACTGTCCGCACTCTACGAGCGGACACTCCGTCGGTGAAGTTTCTAACCCTTGCTCAAATGTGCCAACCACCAAGTGTATCACCTTATGCATATGTGTTAGTATATTTTCACAAGCATTTTCAAGGGTGTTAGCACTCCACTAGATCCTAAATGCATATGCAATGAGTTAGAGCATCTAATGGCACTTTGATAACCGTATTTCAATACGAGTTTCACCCCTCTTAATAGTACGACTATCGATCCTAAATGTGATCACACTCACTAAGTGTCTCGATCACTAAAACAAAATGGCTCTTACTATTTATATCTTTGCCTTGAGCCTTTTGTTTCTCTTTCTTCTTTTCCAAGTTCAAGTATTTGATCATCACCATCTTCATGATCTTCACCATTGCTTCATCACTTGGAGTAGTGCTACCTATTTCATAATCACTTTGATAAATTCAGTTAGCACTTAGGTTTTCATCAATTAACCAAAACCAAACTAGAGCTTTCACCCTCGCCGCATCCTACCTCCCTGGTAGGGTTGGGTCTCCAATGGCGGTGGTGTGGAGTTTGCATGTGGTCGGGACGAAATCTTCGATGAGGACGTCTGCAAACGATGTTCCCTTCTTGGAGGTGTCCTTTTCTACCTCTCCTCCTACCGATTTTGTAGGTGAAAACATTCCCTCGTCGGGCTAGCTTGTCGACGCTCTTGGCGTTGTTTCCTTATTAAAGGCTCTGCTAGGTTATCCAGTTTCCATTATTGATCTTTTGTCGTCTACCATGGCGCTTCTCCAAGGGTGGCAGTGCTCGGTGCTCTAAGTCATTTCCCTCCTTAGTTGGAGCTGTACTTAGTTGCTCGAGAGGTACTAGCGCCCGGACGTCCAGACCAAAGTGCGTGTCCGGACGCCCATGCCACCTTTGTCACGTGTGCTCGCGAAAAGGCCACGCCTGCTGCTCCTTCCTCTGGCCCCCTTTCCTCTCTCTTCGTGACCGTGAGTCCGGACGCCTGCGCACTTGCGGGAAACGCCGTGTTCGCCGTTCCTTGCCCCTGATCCTCTCATCTATCTCTGGGCGGGTGGGACCCGAGAGGCGGCACGAAGACAAGCACACCCTGTTCGCAGGATCCTAGATGCGCTGTGCGCCCCGACCGGCGGCCCACGGCTCGCCTCGCGCCCATCCCCCGGTGCCAAGTACTCTCCACCTCTGAACACATGAAACATTTGGAACATAAAATTGCAATATGTGTGAAACATATGTAACACCCAAATAAAAACACTTGCAAATTGCAACATGAAAACACTTATTCCAACATAAGACAGAAACAATTGCAACATTTTGAACATACTCTTGCAACATAGGTGTGAAACATGTGCAACATTCAGATAAAAACCGCTTGCAACATAAGTCTGAAACAAATAAAATATTTCGAACAAACGCTTGCAACATGTCTATGAAACACTTGCAACATGTCTCTAAAACACTTGCAACATATGCAACGATTTACTTTTGCAACATCCATACGAAACACCTACAACGTACCTCTGAAATATGTGAAATACTTGAAACATACTGTCGGTGTTTCGGACCGGGGGGTCCTCAACCGACTAGTGAATTTGTTCTGCGTGCTCCCGATCCGGATGGTGATGCAAAGAGACACAAGGTTTATACTGGTTCAGGCAATCAAGGCCCTACGTCCAGTCTGAGAGATCGATCTTGTATTCCTTGCACCGAGGTGCTCGTAGTAGGGGGTTACAAGCTAAAGGAGAGAAGGAGCTGGTCCTAGGTCACGGCGGGGTGTCGTGCGAGCCGCTTGAGACATTGCTCTCAGGCGGCAGGAGTGTGCGTGTGTGTGTGTGTGTTACAAGGTGTCCCCCCTTAAAACAACCCAGGTCCTCTCCTTTTATAGCATGAAGGGAGGACTAGGGCGGTACATGAGCTAACTATACAACGTCGTGTGAACAGAGGCAGCGTGTCCGAGCCCTGTAGCCTGTTCCTGTGGCGGTGTGGCCGTCGGAGTGGTCCATCCTTGGAGTACTGGGGCGGCGTGGTCATCCCATCAGATCCTGTGCGTCGTGGGAGCCCCGGGAATGCCTCGGAGTGAATGCGGCGGCGAACGTGCAAGCCACTGTGGACGGACTGTGCGCGAGGCCAAGACTTGGTCGATGCCGAGGCTGGCACTGCGGTGGGGGGGTCTCGGCAGGCACGAACCCCAAGATCGCCGAGGCCCCGGTGTACAGTGCCGAGGCCTTGAGCGGGCGGCCGATCATGGGTACAACGTTTGGACACAGTGGTCGGTAATCCCCGTCGTACCCTGTCCCAGCCGGTATGGCGCTGATCGTGGACACAGTGGTAGGACACAGTGGCCGGTAATCCCCGTCGTGCCCTGTCCCGGCCGGTATGGCGCTGATCGTGGACACAGTGGTAGGACACAGTGGCCGGTAACCCCGTCGTACCCTGTCTCGGCCGGTATGGCGCTGATGCGACCTCGGGTCGCGTCGGTCATCCTGTGGTGTTGAGCCACCGTCCGGCTGAGATTGCGGGAGTGGTTGAAGCATTAATGAGACATGACGAGTTGTTGGGAGGGTCGGCCGAGGCGGGGGGCG